GTACAGGGTCGCTATGAGTTGGAACTGACTCCACAGCACACAGTCATAGCCATAATGAACAATGTAAAAATGCACAAAGATAAAGACAAAGATAATAAAACTGTATTTATTGATTGAAGCAATTAACAATAACTAAACTTTAGGAGCTCTAGTAGCGTAGTGGTTACAAATTGGGCTGCAAACAGCAAGGTCAGAAGTTCGAAACTACTAGCTGTTCCGCGGGAGAAAGATGAGGTTTTCTGCTCCTGTAAAGATTTACAGCCTCAGAAACCCTGTAGTGGGTCGGAACCGACTCCACGGCACATAACAACAACAACAACAAACTTTAGGCAAAAGAGTTGTTGTTGTTGTTGTGCCATCAAATCAATTCTGACCCATAGTGACCCTGTATAGGGTTTCTGAGGACCAGCTGGTGAACTTGAACCGCAGACTTTGTGGTTCAAACGGCTTTGCAGTCTGGCGCATTAACCCACAGTGCCACACTAGGCAAAAGGGTTGTTAACATTTTGATGTATATATTTTCAGCTCATAAACACATTCACACATGCACTACATATATACGCAAATACACAATTATTTGAGTTATAAATATTAACTGAAGGAAATTTATAATACCTCAACAGGGGCCCTCATGTGGTGCTACAGGATAAGCACTGGACTGGTAACAGAAAGATCAGCAATTGAAACCCACCAGCTACTCTTGAAACTCCTATACAGTGTTGTTAGGAGTCAGAACTGATTTGATGGTACCCAACAATAACTACAACAATATACCTCTACAGTGTTCTAATGAGAAGATATTCTAAAATTCATATTGAGTTATTACAAGCAAAGAAAACATTAGCAAGGTCATTCACTGCAAGTTACCTGTAAAAATAAAAATCACATACTGAGCTCAAATTGCTGCTAAAAAATCCTGAAAAATTTAAAAGTCTCTGTGGATTTGGGATGCCTACTTGATTCTATTCTTCAGATATTCTTCCATGATGTAAGCTTAGTTGGATGTATTTAAGATCTGAAAACCATTCGAACTAATGAAGATGAATTTAGCTTTGTTCTTCAACTTCCGGTAAAAATGCTCAACAGGAAAATTGATGCTCACAGTAAACCACAGTCATCCTGTTTCTTTAACATAATTTTTTCACAGCTGCAGTTGTCTGTAGTTTCGACTTTGCTATTCAAGTCACTGTGCAACACCCCCAGAACCCCCACAAAAAAGCATGTCCTTTGGCCACTTCACAAACTTTTAATTATTTTACACAAAGGCTGGTTTCTATTATTGTTACTCTTCCTTTCTCAGGCTGAAGCCCCTCACTCGAAGGGTTGCAGGCAATGAAGCAACCAATATACAAAGGAGGTGGGGGAGGCCACTCAGCCTAAGAGGAAGCAAAAGGCAAAGAGAAACAAAACTTTACTTTATAAACAAAGAAATAACCTAGCTAGTTATTGATCATGGTTACTCTTCAGTGTGAGCTCAGTGTGGAACACAGGCATGGCGTGCTGTACGTGGAAACCCCTCATCTCTCAGAACAGACTTGCTCCCTTCTCCTGTCTCGTCATCATTTAAAACAATGGCTTATTGGAAATCTGCTTAGGTTGTCGCCTCAACCTTAGGTCTATGTCTGCCATCCTTTGAGGGCCCCTGGCTATTTAAGAAATATTTATTTCAGAGCTACAAAGTAAAATGATTTCTTTATTCCACCTCCATTTGTATTTTAAAACCTGATATGAAAGTTGAAGTTTTCACAGAAATCCAAGACCCTAATTTAAAAAATAAGGACAGGAAACTTGGCTGAATGACCCCAGGCATGTCATATTCAACTGGGGGAATATTTTGGGGGAATTGCTCCTTACTTTTTCCACATCACTAAAAACTATCAGCTATCTTTCCACTATGCCTCCCAAATTTCAAAGCTAAACTTTCCCAAAGTCTTCAGAGTCACATTTAGCTTTACCCAAGAAGTAAGATGTTCTCCACCCTCACTCACGCACTCACACACACAACACCCACACAACACACATCTATAGACAAAAGAGGCCCTATTCAACAAAGTAGACATACAAGGGGGCTTCGAAAAGTTCATGGGAAAATTCCATTTATCTTTTAATTCCATTCTGTTTTGGAGCTCCATCATATTTTATTCATTTTATCCCTGTAAGTATGTAACAAAAATAGAAATTCAACAACTTTGCTTGTGAAAGGGTCAAAAAAGCTGGACATGTCTTATTTTTGTTCTTGTTGTTAAGTGACGTGTAGTCATTTCCAATTTATAGTGGCCCTATATAGGGTTTCCAAGAAGTGGCTAGTGGGTTTGAACTACTAACCTTATGGTTAGAAGTCCAGTGTTTATCCTACAGTGCCGCAACAGAACTCTATAGAGAAATGTCTTGAGATTCTTCATCTAAAAGCTATTTATTGCTGTGACATTTAAAACCAAGTATTTGTATAATCCCAGATTCCCAGGTTTGGAAAGGACCCCAAGAAATCACACAATTTATAATGTTGTCTTAAAATTACACTTACAAAAAAAGTTTTGGGAGGTACAGCAAACTTTTGCACATTTATTTGTTAAGGTAGTCTTGGGCAAATTACTTAGCCTCTCTAAATCCCAGTTTCTGCTCTAAAATGGGGACAACATTACCTGATTAGGAGGATTTTCAATTGAGGGACATGCTTAGGAATTATTTTGCTTGTTGTTGTATGCCACAGAGTTAGTTTCGACTCAGAACATAAAGGTTTTCAAGGCTGTATATCTTGATGGGAGCAGAAACCCTCCCTCATCTTCCTTCTCCTAATAAGTATTAGTCATTCTTTTTTAAAATAACATGAGCAAAATGCTTTCTAAAGAGTCTGACACATTATTGCAAGTGCTCAATAAATGTTACTTTCCTTCCCTCCCTTGACAATGAGAAACACAAACCATACTGATTTAAACTTTAGTCCACATGTGTGCATACATGCAAACCTCTGTTTTCCAAATGAACACCGAAGGGAAATGTGTATGAAGTCCATTTTAGCAGGAAAGCATACTAATTAAGCCATTCCTTTATTATTATTATTTTCAGATATAATTTTGAGGACTGAAGGTTGCAAAATACAAAGCAGTTTAAAAAGTTCGTGGAAATATTCTATTATCTTTTAATTCCATTTTTTGTCATGAACTTTTCAAAGCCTCCTATGCAAATAGCAGTCACAGGGGAAACGTTCTTTCCATCAAGAAGCAAATGTGCAACAATCTGAAACACAGTTTAAATAGTCAGAAATATCTAAAGCAAATGTCGTGTTCGTGAAATGTTAAGCAGACTTCAAAAGGGCAGAAAACTCAAAAAGTCCAGGAATTACATAGCTCACTTCCTCTTGCGTTTTAGCATAGGTTAGGGAACTTCCCAGCTGGCAGGCCAGATCTAAGATTTGATTTCATGATGATCAGGGTGAAACTGCTGCTCCGTCCCAGGGAATAATTTTCCCCATGGGGAGTTCTCTGAATGTTGCACTTCATCCAGGATGATTGTGAAATATGCTTGAAGGTTTAGGTACTAGAGTGGTTTAAGAGCTATGGATAATTAACCCACGAGAGAACTTTCCGAAGAGCATTAGAAAGGCCGACTGTGATTGTAGATAAATTATTTAACCTCTGGTAGCGTAGTGGTTACGAATCGGGTTGCGAACCTTAAGGTCAGCGGTTCGAAACTACCAGCCGCTCCGCGGGAGAAAGATGAGGCTTTCTACTCCCGTAAGGATTTACACCCTCAGAAACTCTGTACAGGGTCGCTATGGGTTGGAACCGACTCGACGGCACTTAACAACAACAACATGGTCTTATATGGGAGCGCAGTGGTTCCATATGATAAGCACTGGACTGTGAACCACAAAGACTACGGTTCATGGTTCTAGCCCTCCAGCTTTCTCCAAGGGAGAAAGATGAGACTTTCTGCTCCTGCAAAGATGTAAAGCCTAGGAAAACCCATACAGGGTTTCTATGAGTCCAAAGGGACTCAAGGACACTTAACAACAACCACAGACCTATGTGGGCGGAACTGGTGGCATGGTGGTTAAAGTGCTACTGCTAAGCGGAAGGTTGGCAATTTGAGCCCAGTCTGCTTCTGTAAAGGGCAGTTCTATTCTGTCTTATAGGGTCACTAGGAGTTGGAATCGATTCGACAGCTGTGGGTTTGGGGTTGAATGGACCTATAAAATGAAAAACATTGACTAAATGAGATTCCAGTTCAAACACAACATTATCTTTATGAAGTTCACACAGAACTCTAAGACCCAAGATCCAAACGACTGGTAGAGGTATGGCTTCCATGCAAATAGATCTTAAAACTTTCCCCAAGCTTCTCATCTTTTTCTCTCACCATCCTGTCTTACTCTCTCTTCTGCCTTTCCACCTACTTGTCTCTCTAACAAACTCTCCTACTTTTCTGAATCAGATTGCTTTGCAGCCTTTTCTTCAATTCACCACTTCTCCATTTTCGATAGATAACACGAGTTATGCTAGCTGTCTTCTTCCCAAAAGACCCTCCTTAGGATGGGTTCGTTTGGGACTTGAACTTAAGTAACAAGTTTGCAGCAACTGAACGGCAAAAAGCCTCCCTTTACTTTAAAAGCTATTACCATCGCTGGCCAAACCACAAAATTGCCTTTGAATAAAAGGCACTTGTGTGGGCTACTGAACCATACACAGAGAGGATATGTTTGCTGACATAAATGCTCATTTTAAAGGTTAAAAAAAAAAAATTCCTGTGGACTCAAATTTGTCCAGTGGTCTTGAAAAATTCTACTGGAAAATCTGCTTATATTTTGGCCCAAAACATAAGTTACATGTCACCCACAATCACCATAGTGGTAAGCTAGCATTTTGTGCAATAGGTACAGATCATGTGGCCGAAAAATTAAACTCCTTTATCTGGCCATACTATGGCCCATTAAAAGCCATTTCGTTCTTCCCTATAGCCGGTAAAGGAAATATATTTAGTTTCAATATAATTTTTCTTACCGTTAAAGAATACTGCAGGGCATGCATGGTCAGGGACACAGGCAGACAGAGAGCAAGCAAAACATGAGCCAAGAGAGAAAACCATCCCTGAAAAAGGCATCGTCTTCTAACGCAAACTTGGGGTCGTTAGCCAGCCATTTTGGCCAAGCTGTGGCTTCTTGTTAAATGTGACACAGTGAGCCAGAGGAAGCTGTCCTTCTGTGGCTATTCACTTCCTGTCTGATTAATTTGTTGCTTGTTCCTTCCTCCTTGGCTATAGAAAAAAGAAACCAGAGTGGTTTTACTTAAGAAGCAAAGAAGGAATACAACCTAAGTTAAAATAAAAATGAAATATGTTTCTCCTCAGGAGGTGTCATTATTATTTGTTTGGTACACTGACAGGAGATTGGCATCTGTGTCTGGTTAACAGCCCAGCTTTATTCTAGATACAAAATAAACAGTTGTTCACAGAATTTGCAATTCCTTCAAGAAAGTTCTATTTGAAAGCGTTACTCTCACTATTGACGATACCCCTTAGTATTAAGAAAAAGAGTCGCTCAAAGAAATAATAGCTCTCGTGACACCAACAATTAGAGCCAGTGATTCTTCCTCGTCTACAGAGCATACGAGTGTGTAGGGAGAAAGTTACAACTGTATGTGAAGAGTGAGCAAGCAGGTCAGGTGTGTGATGGCAAATGAGTTTTGAAATGTGGTTCTGGTGCTGAAGTAAGGACAAATGATCTGCAGCTCAAATCACCTGAAGATCCAGAGATTTCTAGGTCAAAAGGTTAGTTTTCTGTCCTCTGCACATAATGAGACGAGAACTCTCCTAAGAAGACTCTTGACAAAATTACAGAGGTAATGAGGGCAGAACAAAGACAGCCAGATTCTAACCATTATTCAGAAACTCTATGAGGTGGATGGTTTTAATAGGAAGTATGTAGAAAGGGCCTTTGGTAGCGTAATGGTTACGAGTCGGGCTGCCAACCTCAAGGTCAGCAGTTCGAAACTACCAGCGGTTCTGCAGGAGAAAAATGAGGCATTCTGCTCCCGTAATGATTTACAGCCTCGGAAATCCTGTGCAGGGTTGCTATGAGTCGGAACCGACTCCACGGTACTTAACAACAACAACAACATGTAGAAAATATTGTTACGTGCTTTGGATTAGTTGCAGCTCATGGTGACCCCCATGTACAACACAATGAAATTCTGCAGGCCCTGCCATCCTCACAACTGTAGCAAACATTAAAACCTTGAGTTACGTATGAAAATGCTTCAAATTTTCTTCTGACCCATCTGAAAGATTCTGACTTAAATTTGTAACATTTCCAATGTAAATTGTAGAAAACAGTACAACTTGAAAGAAGAGGAAACAGAGGAATATTTCAGATACTAACTTCACTGTAAAATTTGAACACTGCTTCCTGATTCTGTTGGGCTCAGAGGAAAGAGACTTGAAAAGACCACAGATTTCCTAACATTCCCTAACCCATAAAGCGATAGGACTGGGATATACCAGTGGTTCTCATTTTAGGCGGCTGTTGAATATGCAGTTATTTTTAGTTGGGGGACAAGGAGTGGTAATGGGGGAGATGCATGGAGGATTTAGTGGGTGGGGCTGGGGATGTATTATCGCCTACAATGTTTAGGACAGTAGTACCCAAATATCAGTACTGGCAGTAATGTATAAGGAGGCCTGGTATGGTGCTGTAGGATAAGCTGGATTGCTAACCACAAAGTTGGTGGTTCAAACCCAGCAGCCATGCCTCAAAAACCCTATCCAGGGTCCCTATGAGTTGGAACCGACTCTATGGCATTTAACAAGGTTTTTTTCAAACTCTAAATTCTTTGAAATAGCAGCCTAACTGTATAGGCTGAGTTTCATGATGCCAGGTTGTTGTTGTTCATTGCCATCAAGTCAGGTCCAACTCATGGCAACCCATGTGTGCAGAGTAGGGCTTTCAAAGCTGTGACCTTTCCAGAGCAGATCACCAGACCTGTCTTTCAAGGTGCCTCTGAGTGGGTTCAATCCACCAACTTAAGTAGTCGTCGAGTACTAAATCATTTGTGCCAGTGGAACTCTAGGACGCTAGGACTTGGGCATGGGCAGAATGTCCACAAGTAGCGTTTCCAAGGATTAGTGACCAAGAGTCACCTGCTGTATCAATAGCCACTTGAAGGCAGGGACTTCATCTTCCTTGCCTCATGCAGGGCCTGGCGTCCGAGAGACACTCAATTCATGTTTGTGATAAAATGCATGCAGGTGTGGGGCTGGACAGTGAGGGAGGCCTGCAACTATCATCCACTCACCCCTCCGTCAACCCTCAGGTAAAAAGGGTCTTGGATAAACTACCAAGCCCATGTGTGAGTGAGTCTTTGGGGAAGTCTAACATGGGCAATATGACGATTTCTTTATATTCTCTAAGTAAAGCACTCACATACAATCCACACACACACAGTTCACAAGTAGTCCCACACTTAGGGGAAAGTTGAAGTAGAAGGGAGCATGGTGCTTAGAAGGCTGAGAAACATGAGGGAGTCATTGTTTCGTTTGGGTCCTGTTCCATCTTTAATGAAGACTTGTAAATGCAGTCACTCTGGACAGAGTTCTGAGGTGTCTGCTATGTACCACAGAATAACACTCCGCCCCTGCTTCAAACCCTACAATGGGTTCTCATTGCACTTCAGAAAAATAACAAAAAACCGCAGTAACTCGATCCCAGCTCATAGTGACCCTATACAGGGTTTCCAAGACTAAATCTTTACAGGAGCAGACTGCCTCATCTTTCTTCCGTGGAGCAGATGGTGGGTTTGAACCGCCAACCTTACAGAGAAAGCAGTTCAACGCTTATCGCACACCTCCACCAGGGCTCCTTACTTGAAAAACAAAGTCCAAATTATTTGCCAATGCCCCAAAGACTCACACATTTAACTCCTCCCTAGCCCTCTGACATCATCTCAAACAACACTCCCTTTTGCCAATTTATCTCCCAGTCCTCTTTCTGTTCCTTACATGCACCAAGCTCATCTGCCTCTCTGAAGCTCTACACTTGCAAGCCCTCCTGCCTGGAACATGCATTTCTGGGTGTGTTGCTGCAGGATAAGCCCTGGACTGCTAATTACAAGGCTGGTGGTTCAAAACTACCAGCCTCTCTTCAGAAATCCTACAGACGCTCGCTATGAGTTGGAACCAACTCGAGACAGCACTTAGCGACAACTCATTCTTTGGAGTCCTGTTGTGATGCTGTAGGAGAAGCCATGACTGCTAACCACAAGGTCAGAAGTTCAAACCCACCAGCTGCTCCTCAGGGTCACTGTGAGTCAGAACTGACTCGATGGTACTTATCAACAACAACAACTCATTTTGTGGAAGGCGCCATAGTGGAGCAGTTGTTAAGTTCTCATCTGCTAACCCAAAGTTGGGAGATTCAAACCCATCAGCTCCTCCATGATAGAAAGACGTAGCACTGTGTTTCTGTGAAGACTGATATTCACGGAAAGCCTCTAGGGCAGATCTAGTCCCCTCTCCCGTCTCACTATGAGTCAGAATCGACGCAACAACAATGGGCTGGCTTTTCACTCACTTTTCAGATGCCGTCTGACAGAGACCCACCCTCGTCCCCACTCTTCTTCTGTTTTCTTTTATCCATAGCATATGCCACTAGCTTATTTAATTTTCTTGTCTCGCTCCTCTGGGACGCAAGCTCTACGACAGCAGGACCCAGTCTTTCTTGGTTATCATTGTCACCTCAGCACCTACAACAGTCTCACGGGTGCTTCATAAGTACTGTTTGGTGAATGGAACAGAAAATCAGTCTGTCTTACCAATTCTGACACAGCATGGCATTCCTCTGGGAGATTCAGCTTGTTCCCCCTGAATTAGTAAGTAAGGAATAGCAAGATTAACTTAAGCCCTTTTGCCAAAAGCTATTAAAGAGAACTTTTTCAGAGGAGGGATGCCATAGATGGGTGGGTGAGACCTCTAACCCACATGCAGATATCGTCAGGTGACTTATTGCAGTGGGAGATTGGACACCGAGTTAAGAAAGTTCAAAATAAGCCAACAAGGCCATTGAAAAGGTAGGGGAAGAAATAAGGAGATAAGGGAAATAAGGCTTGGGAAGATGGAGACGGGACCCGAGAGAGATCCTGAGGAAGCTGAGAGTTCCAACCTTGCTGCTGCGTAGTCTTGGGAACTACCCTCTACAAAGGAAGAAACGTGGTTATTATGGATTTGATCCCTCCGAACTATGTGTTGGAAATCCTAACTCTTATGCCCTAACCACATCCCAGTTGGGAATGGGTTTTCCTTATTATGCTAATGAACAGTATTAGTGTAGGCTATGTCTTGAATCAACCTCTTTTGAGATATAAAATGAGCAAACTAAAGAAGCAGAAACGGGGGACAGTAGAGGCTACATATGAAAACTGCCAAAGACCCATGGAACAAGGACCTTCTTCCAGAGCCAATAAGGAAAGAAAGTCATCCCAAGAGTCAGCGCCCTGAATTTGGACTTTCAGCCTCTGAAACTGTGAGAGAATTAATTTCTGTTTATTAATTTTTTATATTAATTATTTCTGTGATAACAGTAATGGGTAACTGAGACACAGGTGTTGGGTGTAAACGTCTGTCTTCTGTTTCCAGATCAGTGTCAGCTTTTCTAATAGCAACATTCTTAAGATATAGAATGTAGACGCTGGAAGAAACTACAGAGATCAGAATCCCAAACCATCATTTACAGATGAGGAAATATGGGGGGCAGCACGATTTAGTGACCTGGCCACATCATACAGCTGACAACCACACAGTTGGTCTCCTCCCTTATGTGTTATTACTTTGTTTTAAACCTCATGATAGGCTCAGAAAGGGAGTTCCATCCAGCTTCTTTCTATAAGCACAAGAAAAGGCAGAAGGAAGAGGCGTAAAGACAAAGGCTGTAATGTGGAGGGGAGACGCTGAAGGAATTTATGTCAGAAGACTCTAATCTTTTCTGTACAGCAGAAGATAACTTCATCTCTAAGGATGGAAGGTTGGATTAGGAAATAGGAGGCATTAGAATGTTTGCTAATAAATATAGGTAGCAGCTGCTAGATGGAAAATGCTAATAGGATGTGGATAGAGAGCACAAGAAAAGCTCCTTGTGGGTATTAACTGTTGTTAGATGTCATGGATTCCAATTCACA